CAACACTCATTAACACCGACATCACCAACTCAGGGGATCCTCTTTCACTGCGCTCCATTAGAACCTTGATGACAGGCTCAACTGCGGCTCGCGTGCTCCTGAGCTGAGAGCCCTGTCGAGTCCGCGTATAAAAGACAGGACAGTCCTTACTATCACACTTGACCTCTTCCCCCCACGAAACGCCCATGCACGAGCGGCATATTTTATGTAAAAAAAATTCCTTCCTTTCCTCCTTCATCAATCTACTTTTCAACTGCAACAGCGAAACGTGACTATCCCGCAAACAACCAGTGCAAATCTGCTCCTCGCCTTCCTCTAATTTTTCCCGGCAGACAACACACGATGACAACTTCATATATGACTCCAAAGTCTTTTTCGCCGAGAACAATCCCTCCTTATTTGCAGGCACATTCGATGCGCCACCTTCTATACGCCGCACGCGTTGGTACTTCGGCATCTCGTCGTACCATTGTCGAACATTCGCTCCAACGAGATTGAAGATTCGCTCGAGTGGTGGAATTAGGTTTTTTGATATGTAATACTCCGCGTCTAACTCTAGCTGAGAATCGTGGAGGAGTACTTCCGGAGCCACACATCGGTCAATAAGTCTCGCACCGGGTGCACCGGATATTACCACGTAAGGAACTCGCTCTCCATATTGTACTTCCGTCCGCGGATCCTCAAGCATGCGCTTGGCACTTATGAGGGCGCCAGGAGGCGGAATCCCTCGCTCGCTGTACGTTCCCAGTCGAACTTCTTTTGCAAAGCAGAAGTCTTGAATGGATACTTTGCCCTGCATGATCTTAGCACATTGTTTCTGGAAATAGCTTTTCACTCGGCTCAAATCTGCGGTTTCAAACAAAATCTTCAGAGCTTTCTCTTCGATTTTTTGCTCTGCAGGCGTTCCATCGCGGCGTACGGTTTCGATGCCTTTGGCGTCAAAATCTGGTTCCTTCTGCAAGCGACTCTCGTACTTGTATCCAACATATCGCTTCTTGGCTAACAGGACGCAAGGATGATAGACCTTTTCGAACTTGAGCTTGACGGGGCGGGGATTCGAGTCTGTGACAGCTCTTGCAATTTCTCCCCTATATCAAAGGCTTCATCTC